GACCACAGTGACCATCAGTGACCATCAGTGACCATCAGTGACCACAGTGACCATCACTGACCATTGCTCTGGGCTGCACTGGGAGCACTGGGATCCCTCAGATCCCAAACTGGAATGTGCCAGGTGTGTCCCAGGTGTGTCCAGGTGTCCCCAGGTGTGTCCCAGGTGTGTCCCCAGGTGTCTCATGTGTCCCCAGGTGTGTTCCCATGTCCCCCCAGATGTCCCCCCAGGTGTCCCCAGGTGTGTCCCAGGTGTCCCCAGGTATCTCAGGTGTCCCCAGGTGTCCCCAGGTGTGCCCCAGGTGTGCCCCAGGTGTGTCCCCAGGTATCTCAGGTGTCCCCAGGTGTGTCCCAGGTGTCCCCAGCTGTGTCCCCAGGTATCTCAGGTGTCCCCAGCTGTCCCCAGGTGTGTCCCAGGTGTCCCAGGTGTCCCCAGATGTGTCCCCAGGTGTGTCCCAGGTATCTCAGGTGTGCCCCAGGTGTGTCCCAGGTGTCCCCAGGTGTCCCCAGCTGTCCCCAGGTGTCCCCAGGTGTGTCTCACCTGCAGCAGCAGGTGACAGATCTCCAGGTGTCCCTTCTGCGCGGCCGCGTGCAGCGCCGAGCGCTTGCTCTGGGCGTCGCTCTGGAAATTCGGGTCCAGGTTGTCCACTGGGAGAGGGGGGAGGGGCGTCAGGACCCCGAAATCGGCACCGGGACCCCCGAAAATGGGGTGGGGACCCAAAAAAATGGGATGGGGACCCCCAAATTTGGGATTGGGACCCAAAAAATGGGGTTGGGACCCCCGAAATTGGGATTGGGACCCAAAAAATGGGGTGGGGACCCCCAAAATCGGGATCAGGACCCAAAAAATGGGATTGAGACCCAAAAAATGGGATCAGGACCCTCCGAAAATGGGGTTGGGACGCAAAAAATGGGATGGGGATCCCCAAATTTGGGGTTGGGACCCAAAAAAATGGGATTGGGACCCCCGAAATCGGGATTGGGACCCCCGAAAATGGGGTTGGGACCCCCAAATTTGGGATTGGGACCCAAAAAATGGGGTTGGGA